TGTTTGGCGGGTCCGGGCTGGGGATTCGAACCCACCACCTTAGGTGTACGTGGCTGGCGCCTTAGCCGGTTGAGCTATAGGCGCCAAGCCATGAAATTTTATATCTTAAAGTCCTTCACTTAGGATAAGGATTATAGCAGACCAGAACCCACAAAAGTCATATACCCCCAGCAATAAAAAAAGCACCTTCCTCAGCATATTATTTCTACATACCTGTCTGATTAAAAATGAAGATTTTCAGCGTTTCCAATGTTCGATCTGTATGATTAAATCTAGCCATTGGTTTTGCTCCTTGAAATAACAAAATGTTAGGAACAGCTACGGTGCCAAATCTGGTGGAAAGGCTACAAATAGAAAGAAGTCAGTCAGCAAAACTGAATTTATACCAGTGGGCTTTCTCACACCATTACCGTATCAGAATGGATGGAGATAGATGAGAAAGGATTGGTTTCCTGTGACCTCAGGAGGGAGGTTTCTGATAATCAAACTTTAGGCTTTTTACTTCACTTCTGACCTCTTTCCTCACAGGTCATGGTTGGGGGCATTCCTGTTCCACAGTTTGAGTTGCTTTTTATGACAGTATGGATCTACCCCATGACAATTATTCCACCATTTAAGTTGCTGTCAAAACACATCATTATCAGAAAATTCGAATTTATGGACAAAGCACACAATGTCAATTTACTTGACAGAAGAAATTTCCAACTCTTCAGAATACCCATCCCCATGTCTCAAAAAGGTCAATGTATACTATGTAAGTATCTTGGTAAATTGGTACAAGGAAATATATGCTCGAACAAACACACCAGGAAGTTCACAATTGGGTCAGGATGCCTTGGAAGCCACATGACCGGTGTGGGCTTGTTTCACCTTGACATCACAGAGACTGGCGGTGATAAGCTTCCCAGTCAAAACACTGGGTTCAAGCCTCAGTCCTGCCACTGACACAGCTGTGTGACCTATGGGAACATTAGGTAATCTCCCTAAGCCTCAGTTTTCCCCATTAGTAAAAGAGTAATACTGGATAATGAAGATTTTTTTGGTAAACATGCTATAACTTAAATATGAACTTATAAGGCAAACATAATTATGGCACCATACCAGGCACTACCAGGAAATGAAGTAAAGAGAGAATAAATCAGATGGGAGGGGGGTAAGGGAGAGACAGTGAGAGAGCTAAAACCAAAGAGTGCTGAGTATGCTTGGGGGCAGTGGAGTGCCCAGCCAAGATTGGACATTGACCTAACTCTCCTTTCAATAGTCTGTTCCCTTGGCCAGGCCACTTAGATCCCTGAAGCCCATGTAAGAATTATTGGCTTGGCACCAGTAGCACAGTGGTTATGGCACCAGCCACATGCACCAAGGGTGGTGGGTTTGAGCCCAGCCCAGCCCAGCAATGACAATTGCAACAAAAAAAATAGCAGGGCATTGTTGCAGGTGCCTGTAGTCCCAGCTACTTGGGAGGCTGAGGCAGGAGACTCGCTTGAGCCCAAGAGTTTGAGGGTGCTGTGAGCTGTGA